TGCAGGCTGGGGACGACTTGGGAACCCAGCAGGGGACCGGGTGGGGGTTGGGGGCGGCCGGCTTCAGCCTAGCGTTCAGCAGCAGTTCCTTGTTCCTCGGGGAATTGGCAGACTTCTTACAAAATCTAGCATCCTGCAGGGAACCAGTGAGTTTCCCAGTGGAATGACCTCAAAGAACTGCAAACTTTCTAATGCAGTCTCAGGTCACAGAGCATCCCTTCTGCTTTTGTCTCCTGGTGGTGTGGGGATGTGGGGGCAGGGAGAGGCAGAGCCCTGGAGGAGTGTGCGAACTCTTATACTTACTTTCTGGCCTGACACCCACGCATACACCTACATGCGTAAGTATACACAGAGAAGCATAAATACATACACACGCAGACATATGAAGTCATTTTTGTATAAATATGTATGTATACGCACATAAACCCACATGTACAGCTTTTATGTAGCCTGAGGCTCTCAGAAGTGCTCAGAGGATTCCTCTGCGGCATGGGGCATGAAGACCCTTTGGCCACATTTGACCAATTTCTTTCCTCCTGATAGACCTCTCTATCCTCTTTAGTGTGACCTCTGCTTCCTTCCACCCCTAACTAGCAGCTTACTGGTTATGTGCAAAAAGTCTCAGCCAGCATGTTGACATTGCATGCTGATAGTTTATGCTTATGGGAGTTATCATTAATTCGTAGAGTCAAATGGAAATAGTATAACTTATATGTGTCTGCAGCAGTAAACTGACAAAGGGAGAATCAGCCCTTTCCTGGAGCTGGATAGCAAGTGGAAGAGCAGAGATGTCAGCAGATTTTGCCATGGTATGAAGACAGCCATTCCCAAATCCTGCAGTGTAGCTAATGTGTACAGGGAGAATTGGTTCAGTGCCATACTTCCCACTGGTTTGATGTCCTTTAGCTTTTAAGAATTACCACATATATCTACATCAAAGTCGTAGTTCGTAATCATTTTAGGTAACTCTTAGTTCAGTTTTGTGATGCTTTCACAAACGGTTCTCAGAGTTATTCCTATCCTAGCAATGTGTACATTTTACTATACCACTTTTGTTGTACTTTTTACAACTTCTTTTTCTCCCGTACTAAACTATGAATTTTTTGAGAGAGATACTCTTACCATGCATCCTCAGTACCTAACGCAGTAATTGTAATGACTCAATAAACAGTGGACAAATTCTGCAGATTGATCATTAGATTCCACTGTATTTTTAATAATTATAGTTAAGATTGTTTTTTTTTGAAAAGTCATTAAACAAGGTAATTAAAGATGGAGTCCATAGGCTAAATTTTCCTTGGATCTTTATTTAAAGTAAGGACTTCTCAGTCACTTGAAACTAGAAAATATTAAAGCTTCACAAATTTTACAGCAGAATACTAAGGTCTGTAGTATATATATATATATATATATCCTTTCCCCATAACAAAGCAAAACAGAAGGTACTTTCCCTATCATTGAGAGACAGACCGAAAAACACATTGTGTTTCAACAAATAGTGAGGTAAAAATGGCTCTGTAGCTTTTCTGCTTAAGAGGTAGAGTTTCCCCCTCTCCATGGTCAGCTGAAGTATGTGAGTGTTTACTAAGACAAACTTCCATTCATCAGAGCTGAAACGTCTGGCCCCAGTTATGTGGCGCTTGTTACCCTACCTTTAGACCCCTGTCCTTAACATGAAGTCTCCCATCATGTAATAATTATTTTAAGACTCCAAAGGGACTTCAAAAAGTTCATGGGAAAATGGGGCTAAAGTATGAGTTTATTTTGCTTCAAAAAGTTTAGAGGGAACCAGCAGTTAGCGTAATGGCTATGTCGCTGGACTCCCATGTAGTCGACCGCGGTTTGCATCCCGGACCCAGTGGCTTAAAACTCACGCCGGGCGCGTGTGCATGTGTGCCCAAGATCCCGAGAGGAGAATGGAGGAAAAGGATTGCGGCATGACCATCCCCCCTGGGGGGTGATTTCTCGCTTTCTGTCTCTATGTCTGTTTTTGGCTGGCTGGCGAGTGCACGCGCCCTATAGCAAAAACCTCTCAAAATAAATAAATAAATAAAAAGTTTAGAGATTCATGCTTAGTTTTTTTCATAGTAGGCATTTTCTGTGATCTTTTGAAAACCCCTATTCAGTTTGATGTATGCTGACTATTTGCTCTTAAACTGGGAGGTCTTCAGGTTTAGAGCATATGGTCCTCCAGGACCACTTCAAGGCAAAATTCTGAAATGGGCAAGATTTGTCTTCAATATTAACGTTCACTTTTTAACCACTGATCAAGAAGCTTGTGCCCTCTGCTAGGTAGCAACTAAGAATTCCCAGTTTAGCCCTATCTTGGAACCAGGTAGAGAAATTGTCTCTGAATTTTGGTGTTTGTTACAACAACATGTATGATAAAACTCAATGTATTGAAGATGTAGTATGTACCATGCTCATTACATATATTAGACATTTCATCTCTGTGAGATCACTGCTAACCATGGAATACCATCTCCATGTTTTCCTTTGAGGAAAGAGGCTCACAGAAACTGAGTTGTCTATACATCTCACAGCCAGCTGGAGTGGTGGGTTGAGGACCAGAAGCCAGGCATGGTGGTTTTCAAGCCCATCTTTTAATCTCTCAGCGTATACTTCCTCCCACTTGCCAGGAAAGTCATGTGGGCTTTATAACTAGGAGATGTGGAATAAGGAATATTGGTGTGAATTCTAGTTTCACCACTTGCTACTATAGCTGTAGGGAAATTGCTGCTATAAAATTACATTTTGAATCCCTAGATTCATGTTTCTTCACCTTTGAAGACTTGGAATGTTAGATCTAGATAGGAATTTAGGGGTCCGAAGTAGGTTATTTAAGCCCATTTGTAGATTGATCCTACTCAGGATTCAGGCTACTCTTCACCATATTTTTCAGTCTAGTTCTATCCTAATCATTGCCACACAGTCATACACAGTTAGGGATTTTAAAAGACCTGATATGTATAAAGCATCTACAGTGTCAGATACATAATAAGTGCTCATTAAAGGCCTTTCTGTCTTGTTCTATGAAAAATTCCCTCAATGTCTAAATTTATTGGTCTAGCACGTAAGTGGTGATTATTTACTTACAGTGATTAACGATTTCTCCGGTGTTGGCCAGTAATGGTTTTCTAAGGGTATAGATAGAGGTTCCAAAACAAAATCAAGATGGCAAGGCTCTGGGTCTCCTTCTCCTTTTAACCTGGGTAGCTCCATTACTTTTATTTATTTATTTTTCATGCCAAAGGGCAAGTGTGCACCCATGAAAGAGTGAAAACAACCCTTTCAGGAGCCTGGTCATGCTGCAATCTTTTTCCTCCACTCCCCATCTCATCAGGATGCTAGGCATATGCTCAGCATGTTTTTCCAAAGTGTAAAGGGGAAGATTTTGGAATTTATGTCTTCGTTGTAGGGACAGCATAGTATAGAATATTGAAGCCAGATGACTTGGATTTGAATCCTGACTCATACAAACCCTGGTTGGTCATGTGGAATCCAGCTTTCACTAACTGCTTTTCTTCAAGGGTAGTTCTCTGTTTTAAAGTCAGTTGGCCATGGTTTCAGACAAAGTGTCACTGTAATAATAAAAACACTTTAACTAGAAAACTCTTCAATCACACTAACCAATCATCTACCTAGTCTACCTTCACATATGAAGTCACCCCTGCAGTCAGACTTAAAATATGTCTCGTTTATATATAATTCATTTGTAAAATCTGATCCAAGAGCTCAAAAATCAAAGTAAGTACAGGAAACATGATGTATTTTTATTCATCTCACATAAGCCTGTCTTGATCCACTACTGTGCTACTTATAGAAATACCTGAGACCAGGTGTAGAGCTTTATTTGACTCATGATTCTGGTGGCTGGAAAGTCCAAATGCATGAGGCTGACATAAGGCTGGCTATGTTACAACATGGCCAACAGAAGCAGAGAGAATGCATTCTAAGTTTCTTACAGATTTCTCTCTCCTGTTCTGGTCTCATTTCTTCTTCTTATAAACCCACCAGAACTCGATTATGGGAGCCCTACTTTAGCCACCCAGTCACTAATCCCTTTCCAAAGTCCCCAACACTAACCAATCATCTACCTAGTCTACCTTCACATATGAAGTCACCCCTGCAGTCAGACTTAAAATATGTCTCGTTTATATATAATTCATTTGTAAAATCTGATCCAAGAGCTCAAAAATCAAAGTAAGTACAGGAAACATGATGTATTTTTATTCATCTCACATAAGCCTGTCTTGATCCACTACTGTGCTACTTATAGAAATACCTGAGACCAGGTGTAGAGCTTTATTTGACTCATGATTCTGGTGGCTGGAAAGTCCAAATGCATGAGGCTGACATAAGGCTGGCTATGTTACAACATGGCCAACAGAAGCAGAGAGAATGCATTCTAAGTTTCTTACAGATTTCTCTCTCCTGTTCTGGTCTCATTTCTTCTTCTTATAAACCCACCAGAACTCGATTATGGGAGCCCTACTTTAGCCACCCAGTCACTAATCCCTTTCCAAAGTCCCCACCTTTTGACATGACTCCTTAATCAGTTTACGTTTCATCCTCTTAATCCTATTGTAGTGCCTCACCTCACAAATCGAGAGAGACATATTCAAACTACAGTATCTTGATAGGTCAATAATACAGTTTACTCTGTATCTTATAAAAGAAAAAGACAAGTTCAACACCTATTTCAAGAAATTGTAAAAA